CATTTCAAAAGGAACAAAGAAAAAGGGAGAGGACATGTTCACATACAAGAAAAATAAATACCCAGAGACATTCGAGTTCAGAGTTACCCAAACCTTCCCGTTCCAATCGAGAATTTCTCAAACACTAACCTAGTTCTAACCTAGATAATTCAACCCCCGGAACTTATAATTATAATACATGTACTAGCACCCACGCAACTTCAATCCACCTAGCCAAGTTCTGGCCCGTCTTCGGTCGCGATGTTATCTTCAGGAAGTGTGATTTCACACATTCAAAGAACTCGGGGAAGTCCCGAACATGTCGCGGATATTCGGAACTGAAGTTCGGTCGATCGGAAATGGCGACGACCGCTCCGAAAGGCGACGACCGTTCTGAAAAAAGGCGACGACCGTTCGGAAAGGCGACGACCGTTTACGAGACGGAAATTTGCCGCGCCGAGGGCGGGGCCTGAGAAAGAGGCTCGAGTGTCGGCAAGCAGACCTCGCTACTGTGGCGAGTTCCAGACCGGGTCCTGTTCGCTACCCTCCGGGCATTGGAGCACACGATGGAACGCCCCACTGTTACACGTCTGTAGTGCGTGTTTGATAGTTCGGGAGATTCAAGCACCGCACCCGAGTCAAGAGTGCCAGCACAAACCACGGCCATTTCGGGGCCCGGCAGACAGAGCAAATCGCAGCTTCGGTAACTCCGCCCACTTCTCCCAGGGACCCGGCCCCGCACGTGGCGGCACACAAGGCGATCAGGCTACATGAAGAGGTATCGGCATTTAATGTTCCTAACTATATTGGCGCTCGTAGACCGGTGGACTCAAATCTGAATATACAAACCTGGANAAAGTTCTTAAAGATTACGAGCACAAGCATATAGTGGATTATTTGGATTTTGGTTGGCCCATCAACGTTCAGGAAGAACTCTATAGTCCGCCTGCAGTTTTGTATCCTAAGAATCATAAGTCTGCTACAACGTATTCTTCACATGTTGATCATTTTCTTTCTGAACAGCGTCGCCTAGGTGCCATAGTGGGACCGTTTCCAAAGAACCCTTTTTCGTCCCCAGTGGTTTCTTTACCATTACAAACAGTGGAGAAACGGAACAGTGATACGAGGAGAGTAGTAGTGGACTGTAGTTTCCCATGTGGCCATGCATTGAATGAAGCAGTACCTAAGGATACTTATCTAGGAGACACGGTACAGTTGTCTTACCCATCAGTCGACACAATGACTCAGATGATTTTGAATAAGGGACCAGGTTGTTTGTTATATAAGACAGATTTAAGGAGAGCATACCGGCAGTTGCCAGTGGACCCTAGGGACTACAAATATCTATTGTACAATTGGAGAGGTGATTTCTATGTGGACACTAGATTAGTATTTGGACTCAGATCATCAGCATACATTTGCCAAACAACGACTTCAGCCGTCACTTATATTCAGCGGGAGAAAGGTTATGATGTGTGTAATTACTTAGATGATTTCGGAGGAGCGGAAACTCCATCTTTAGCTGATGCAGCATTCGCAGATTTACAGAACACTTTGGGCAGTCTTGGCTTGGAAGAAGCTCCAGAGAAGGCAGTGCGCCCTACTACGTGTATGACATTTTTAGGAATCGATTTCGATACAGTGTCTATGACTAGACGCGTTCCACAGTTCCGGTTAGAAGAGATTAGACTGCTTGTTAGCGCGTGGCTGAACAAGAAGAAGGCCACTAGACGCGAACTCCAGTCCCTGATCGGTAAGCTCGTTTTTGTCTCATCCTGTGTGCCTCCTGGACGACTGTTTATATCACGTATGTTGGAGGCATTGCGTTCACTACGACGGAACCACCATAGACTTCGCTTGACACGGGATTTTAGATTGGATCTCAAGTGGTGGCAGCGGTTTATGGATTCATACAACGGTGTATCGATGATGGTTCCAGACATTTACAGCGACCCTGACGAGTTGGTTATGACAGATGCCTGTGCCACGGGGTGCGGCGGTTTCTCCAACGGTCAGTTCTTCCATTGCGAGTTTCCCGAGCGGACTTTGGAACAGTTTGGATCAAAGATACACGTGCTTGAAATGTTAACAATTGTAGTCGCGGCACGGAAGTGGGCACCCCAATGGTTTGGACAGCGAATTTTGGTACACTGCGACAACATGGCATGTGTGCACGTATTAAACTCCGGCCGTGCTCGTGATCGGGAACTGTTGCAGTGTGCTAGGGAGCTGTGGCTGTTGGCTGCCACATTTGAGTTCCAGGTGAAGGCCACACACATTCAAGGTTCCCACAATCGGATTGCAGATCATCTTTCGCGATGGCACCTGTCAACGTATCACTCTCAGCAGTTCAAGAGTCTCACACGACACCAGACCACTTGTGAGATTCTGGTATTCCAGGAAGACTTTATCTTGGAGTGCCCTTATTGACTGTATGATAAGGTTCTAATGCATTTGTTCTGTTCTGTTTGTTTGTTTGTTTGTAATTGTTTCAACCAGCAAAGACCTTACATTACACTAAGACATTACAGTGTGCTGAGAGAGTATTGTACGTTCCCGTGATGGAGATCAAGAATTCTCCTCTTTTTCCTGTATCGGCATACTGTAATATGGTTAAGTTGAATCGCAATTTTGATACTATCGCAGCTTTTACGAGACCACATAGATCAGGATTTGTACCTTTGACTCAGAGCGTTTTCGATAAGGCTTTCAAGCAGATCCTGATTAGAGCAGGTTTAAGCCCAGCTAGATACTCACTACATAGTGGACGTAGAAGTGGTGCCACCTTTGCCTTTCATTCAGGTGTTCCTTTTACCTTGATTCGCCTTCAGGGTGACTGGCGTTCGGACGCCTACTTGCTGTATCTGAAAGTTTCCTTAGCCACCCGGTTAAGTCTATGTTCCAGAATGGTGACTAGCATTCGTAAGATGGCTTTGTAGTACTAGTATCTTACACCACATCGTAGACCACTAATAGATTGTTTTGTTAGGAGGAGACAATGTTATTGTTACAAGTTGACCTATGTGTTTAGGTCCCTTTAGTTTGTTGCGCATGTTCTTATATGATTCCCTATTAGTGAACTATTGTAAGAAGTAATGATGGTTGTTAGCCTGAATAGTTCGACAGCAGTTATACTGTTATAAGTTGTAACAGTTTTATATTCTTGAATTGTTGTTATATTGTTCCTTCCTGGGTTGGTAACCCCAAAGCAATGTTCAAGTATGATATCATAGGAATCTAAAGAGAAAGAAAAGGAGTAGGTGGTGGTTTTCTTAATTTAAATAACTATGTTTTGCAGTTTGGCCGTTCCTTTGGTGTTTGTTTCGGAAAAGTCACAAATTAAAGCTTTTCCCTTTTTCCGGCCAAACTGTGTCTGATTTGTCTTATGTTTCCTGAGTTTTTGTAGGATAATTTGGGAAAAATTGACCATTGGTAATTTTTGTTAATTGTCTAGAAAACCCCTGTTTCTTTTGTTTCGGCCCGTAACCTTTGACACGATCACGTGATACGCCATTCGACTTGACGGTACGCGGGTGCCGGTCCTGCTTTTGTTTGTCTCTTCACCCACCACCACCCCTTTCTCCACCTGTGTTTGTTTCGGAAAAGTCACAAATTAAAGCTTTTCCCTTTTTCCGGCCAAACTGTGTCTGTTTTGTCTTATGTTTCCTGAGTTTTTGTAGGATAATTTCCGTAATTTACCCAGTAGTAGAGATTGAATTGTCTATGAGTATTTTATTTACTTATTTATTTATTTATGAGTATTGTTTACCTGGATGTCTAATCTTCACTAACGTAAAGCTTGTCTTTATTTCCCTGTAGGTTGTGTCAATTCCAGCAGGAGGATCATTGTTAGAGAGCACCAGAGCTATGGACCTGCACCCAGGTCTGGATCTGGAGGGCTTCCCCAACCGTGACTCCACCATCTACAGGGAGCCGTATAGTATACAGACGGCACAGACACTTCTCAGGGGCACACTTAGATTTAAGGTAAAAGGTGGTAAAGTGAAAAGTTGTCCGAAAGCCTTAAGGCTGTGGATGCAGGGGGTTGCACGGTATTGGAAGGCAGGTCACTTTGGGACTCAATGGGGCAGTTTATTGTAAAATGCTGCTGTTTTCTTGTTCTCTGTCTTGTCTTATCTTGTCACCATGCTTTTTGTAAAAAAAACACTTTTCCTTGGTCCCATGGGTGGTCATCTTAGGCAAACTTGACTGTATACTATACGCAATGAATTAAGGTCAACTGATGTGTTACAGGGCTACTCAAGTGCCTGCATAGGTTTACAGAAGGTTGGGCTGATAAACACAGAGAACCATTCTTGTCTGGCACCACAGGCGCCAACACTCACATGGGTAAGTACTTCTATTACATACCACATAGTACAACAGGGTTTAAATACTTTTTCCAATGCAGGTATACAATCAAACTTAGCTGCACCAGACAAATTTTACCTGCAGCACTCAATGCAGAATTTAGAAAGTATGGATCATACAGTAACTAAAAACTGTTTAGAAACCATTGGCATTGTTTCTTTTGTATTTTATACTTAAGTTTATAGTCTAAGTCTCAATTTAAAAAAGTTCTACCCCTCTCTCTCCCCAGAGAGACTTACTGTGCAACCTGCTGGACATGGAGGCTAATGTCAGTGATGATGCACTGAAGGCAGCCATCTTGGACAAGGTAGAAGGAGAGGAGTACAGGGTAAAGGTCATAGAGAAGTAAGTCTTTCTTTCTACATGTAGCTAGAAGCCCCCACCCTCCTCGAAGGTGCCATGCTTACGTTCATAATTTCAGTGTGCCTCTCTTATGATGGGTGAACTGTATGTTTTTATGTTGATGTGTGATGTTTAAGAATTTTGTTTTTGTCCCCTCCAGACTGGGACTCCTGTCATCAGAACCAGTGGATAAACAGACTACACCTCTGGACACCTTATCCAAATACCTAGCCCAGAAGCTGGCCTATGGTAAGGTATCCATTGCTGCACACACACCACTGGTACTTAGTCACGCTACATGTATAAATGTAGAGCTACTTCCCTCATGAATACATTATAAAAAGAGCAATAATGAATCTAGGTACATGTACATGTACTCATAATCCTAGACAGCTTTCTGACCCAAGTGCTCTAGACATGTGATTTTTTTGCATATGTAACATCAGCACTGGGTCAAAGTCTGTCAAGCACTTGGGTCAGAAGGCTGATGAAGGGATTCAGTGAAAAATTCAAAATTTTTTAGTCAGACAACAGTTTAATTTTCATGATGTAATTTATCAACTGAGATGAACTTTCATGCTAACAGCCTTGTTTATATTTTGTACTGTTGCCCCATGCAGGTTCAGGTGAGAGGGACATGGTCCTGTTGATCCATCTCATCGAGATGCAGCGGTCAGACGGCAGCAGGGTTCAGGAGAAAGTGACCTTACTGCAGTACGGAGACCCGCAGGGGTACTCTGCCATGGCCAAAACTGTGGGGTATCCTGCTGCCATCGCCTCCAGGATGATACTCAATGGTACAATTCCTTCTGGCACCCTCCAGATTTTCTTAGAATGTGGATAAAACTGTAAAATACTGGATTCTACTTCTACTATGACTTGTTCTAAGCGTCATGTTGACAGAATGTATATACCATTGAACTTACAAAAAGAGGATACAATGTACAGTAGGTGTTCTCTTTGTTAAGTGCAGCTTTGGCCCTATTGTTTGCAGAATGTTCTGATATTGATAGAGCTGTTCTTTTCTTTTGTGCACAGGAGATATCCAGGACAAGGGGATGTTGGTTCCCTTCCAGAAGAGTGTGTACCAGCCTATACTGGACAGGCTGAAAATGGAGAATGTCCAGGCTGACTACACTACACAGGAGCTTTGACCAGTACAACTAGCAGACTAAGAGGAGCAGTGACCAGTACAGCTATAGTCTTCAGGCTAAACCTGCCATTAGACTTCTCATCATTGTCTTTAAACAGTCACATGTGGTAAATGTTAGAGAATAATGCATGAGAGGTTAGAGAATGAGTAAATATCAGGACTGACTTCAGTACAGGTTTTACTGTAACACTGTAGCTAGAATTCGGTAATAGTGTCAGAGTTTTACTTCATACTGGTAGTTGTGACCATTTTGTGAAATGATTTTTGTTTAAAGTAAAAATATGCAGTATAGGGATGGTGGGTGTAATTTTGAATGCGATATAAATCTTATCTTTTCATGGTGTACCAGTAGTATGGATTCGTATTATTATGCTAGCCATGTGTGCTGAGAGGCATTGCATACATGTAGGGCAAAGGTACATGCTCCAAATTATGTTGTTTATTTCTTTATTTATCTATAAGATTTCAACAAAGAAATATTTAGGAAAATGTGGTGTAGGTTTGAAATGATAAATAATCACATCACACAGAAAACAATACCTCCATTTTCAAGGCAGTACATGTAAAAGGTATGTGGAGGAGGGCAGCTAGCCTGGTTACCAAACCTATTATAGCTCCCGAGTCCTACATCCTCTCCGCAAATAGCGAAGAGGATGTAGGACTTGGGAGCTATAATAGGTTTGGTAACCAGGCTAGCAGTACTCTGCCACATCTAGTGATATCTTTGTTTTTAGTGGTGTCAAAGTCATGCAAAGATGTGTCCATAATGCCCAAGCCAATAAATCTATTTTAACCAGTGTAATTCTTTTGTATCAGTTTATTCCAAAATACTCTGTAGGTTAAAATGGTATTTCAAAAGCAAAATGTTAAGTTTTATGTGGTAGATATTTCAACACAGAGAGGACTATGACTTGTATCCCCTTTCTTTGAATACAGTATGCTATCACATATGCCATAGCTAGGTGAGAAATACTTTTTTTAGGCACAACCTATTCATGAATGGTTTGACTAGATACAAGGTGTATAATCTAAGATTAAGACAGAATGACAAACATGTCAGATCCAGTAAGTACATGTACAACAAATATCATGCTGCAATTTTTTTCTCAGTGTCTTAATTAAGTTGAGAAAAGTGGAACAACACAATATAACACGCTCATTATTATGTGTTTAACAAATCTGGATATTGATGATGTACACTGATTAAAAAATAACATGGTTTGGTCTGAACACTGCAATGTACAGAAACTGATCAACATTTAAGGATATTTTATTACTGGGGTATCCTGTGTAAATGCTTTAAAGTAGACTGGTAGATACAAACAATCATTATATACAAGAGCAGATAATCCCTCCTACATGTCCTGAAGCTTAACGCTGACCCCCATTTGCAGACCATCCCCGTCCCTGTTGATGGCCTGCCACCGTGTTAGCTGGCAATCTTGCAGATGTCTTCATACTTCACACCTTCCACCACCCTGCCCTTAGACACACCCTGTGGCAGGAAAATAAACAATGTTAAATGTCTTTCAACCTTTAAAATGTTAGTAATGAAAGATAAGTGGCATAGAGAGCTGAGAAAACAAAGAGTGAGGTTCTGACCGAGTCTATCCTGATGGTGACACAGAAGTTCTTCTCATCCAGCCCCTCCAACACCGCCCTGCAGCCGCTGTACGTGCCGTTCACCACCTGTACCGGCCGGCCGACCGCGGGGATGACCGTCTCCAGGTGAGTCTGGTCAACTTTCAACTTGTCACCCGAGTCCACCAACATCAGGACAGCTGAGCAGATATAAACAAGATATATGTTAATAATGTCTGGCAGACTTAGATTATGGTGTAAGCTACAAGCTCAACAAGGCTTTTATGGTGAGTTTCAAACTACATACAATTTACCATACAGGTACACCACACCATACATGTGCCTTCAATGTCCCTAAGTATTCAAAGCACAGTAGATCCCACCTTCCCATTGCAATACTAGTACTCAGTCATATTGATAAGTGTAATAATTCAGACTTAAAAATCAGCCCAGGTCTGTAAAATATGCTGTAAGGATGAGTGGTCACTCCTGGACACGGATCTGACCAGTGCCTCCCGGACAGTGACTAATATTATAAATGGGCCGAATATAACTATCATAATGGTCCCTAGGAAAACAACTGAACATACCTGTATACAGGTCTTTCACTGCCAACACCTCTGCTTTTTTCTTGTAATATTTCTGTCCCAGCTTCTTAGTAATGACCTTGACAATAATGCCAGGAGTCAGCCAATGGTCCTTCCTGGTGAACTTGGCCTTCTTCTTCTCCTCCTCTTCCATGATCTCATCCAGAGCCGACCGTTTCTTGGCTCCATCTTTCTTAGACGTGACTGCTTGGACATCCTTCTTCCTTGCACCAGCAGCTAAGGCCTAAAATATCAGCACAGCTTTAACTCAAGTCATTTTTTGTCACAAAGAGTGTGTTAAATGGTTAAGTTTCTAATGTATGAGTTGCAGTCTACTAGCATAAAGTACATAAGACAAGCATTGAAAATCATAGTCATGGAAAGCCTTGCATGATACTTATGGCGAATGAAGTCAAGACATTGGCAATGGCAGTGGTGCACACAAAACATGTTCAGACAAAATAGATAACCCATATCAAACATTATCGCAGCCAAAGTATGACACAAATTACCATACCTGTAGTGGGTTCTCAGCAGCTTTAGAGGAGGATGGTTTAGACTCTGCTGAAGGTGCTGATGAGCTGGTAGGTTTCTTCCCACCCAAACCCATCTTCAACACAATCTTCTCCTCCTCACTCTGTCTCTGCAGCTCTGTGGCCTCATGGGAAGCCTGCTCCCCGCCCCCCTGCATCCCTCTTTCTACCTGTGTTCAATGAGAAATGGAAGTTTGTCTTATTAGGATCTCCATTAGTTTTACATAAATTTCACGCTATTCTTCCTGGAGTCAGCAAGGGTGATGATGTAAATCATTGTGTAGCTAATACAAGATGGGAGTTCATCAGGCCTCCATCTGGGTGATTTGTAGGGCATCATCGACTTCCAGATTTTAAGATTTCCCAGATGTGCATTTGCACCTTTGGTGCTTGACATGATATTAATTGAGTTGTCAGGAAAAAAATTTCAGGATGGCCAAAACACTGGCTGCAACACTAGTGGATACTGTGATGACCTTGAAGGTGGCAGCTCACCTGTTCCTGGATGTACTTGGCCTGCCGTTCTTCATCGTCCATGTCCATCTTTTTCTTCTTCTCCAGTTCCTGTTGCCTAGCGATGGTTTCAGGGTCCCGGTTGATGTACTGGATGTACCAGCCCTTCTCTGTGTGATCCACTTTACAATAACCTGTACATGACAAAGTACAAAATTTTATCTTCTATTCTAATGTTTCAGTCAGCTACCTTCCTCAGTACATGTACTACATTTTGCATACTACCGGTAGTATATCAAACTACACTGATATGTGGGGTGATCATTGGAGCAGACAGGGATCTTTGCAATACCAGTACCTTCACTTTTTGAAGAAGTTATTGTGGTATGTTCTGCTTTTGCAGAGATGATTTTGGAACTGCCCTTTTTTGCACATGGAGGATTAAGTACTAGTAGTGTATGCTATACCAGTACAAATGTCAGGCTTTCTAGATTTAAATTAACCTTTTACCTTTTGTACCAAATTTCTGGTACTTAAGGATTAGTAAGCAGGGAAATGGGTTAACTCTGCTTACCTTCCCTCCCCAGCCACTTGACAAAGTCTGTCAGAGTCAGCCACTGTGTGGAGTTCATATGGGTATGGTCACGGTCCTGGATGTACTCATTGTACACTATGTTACAGTGGACTCTCTTGTCACCTGGAAATTAAAATATGAAAGTCACCACAAGTTACGGTATTACCCACTTACCACTGTTAATAGCATTTAGGAGATACAAAATTTCAAAACTGATGCTGATCATCGCCTGATGCCAATATGGAAATTCAACTCACCAAATCGTCTCCTGAGAAGTTCCAGATATCCATTTAAAAACTCCCTGCACAGAAAAATGTCAAAATGTACATGAGTCAATACATGTAATTATTTGGGAAAAGCAATAAGAACTCAAGGGACTTAGCAAAAGCAATAGCTTTTAAGATACGTCGGAAAAATTACTTCATGTGAGAAGCATAATGTTTAACATACTGTGAGAAGTAGTCCAAGAACTTGTCTGGACTCTCAGCAAAGAGCAGCAGCTGTCTCTGGTGACTCTCTGACATGGTGTGGCACTTGAAGCCATTCTGGACAAACATACATGGAGTACATGTTATATAAAAAGAAATGAGCAGAGTAGAGTGATTGATTTGAAGGCAACGGTTTCTGGATAGGTCAAAATTGTAGGTGGTATAGGCTAAAATTTGTCTGGTTCAGGTAAATTTCAAAATCATGCTACGCCAGTACAGATACATGTATGCAGAAAAAAAAGTACCCGGTATGAAAATTCGATTTCGGAGCACTGATACCGTACGTACCTCGTCCCTGCACTGCTTCTGACACATTTGACAATACCAGCGAAGCTTCTGTAAACCCTTTGCCTTGATCCTGTTGCTGATTGCCTTTGGTGATAGGAAACCCGCCTTCTCCTTTCCCATGATGAGAAAATTATGCTCTTTCTGAAAACTGTCGAGAAAAGTGGCTTTTCTTTCTGAACCTCTCAGCGGCTGAGGTAACGCGGCTGATGAGGGCTCTCCTTACTGTTGCGGGAGTGGTGGACACAGTATGTTCGGACTACCGCTCTCAACTATGCTTACGCTGACAACCTGAAAGTATTACAGTGCCGAAAAAGTCCTTAGTGATGAAAAATACGAGAAATCGTCGCGATCTGTTCACGCTTTCGTTCGCTGGACAGCCATCTTGAAAAAAAATGCCCATAAGCCTTAGCGAGAAATAAAAGGTGAAAAGGTCATAGTACCAACTAGCCAATCAGAGGCTGCCAATCAGTTTACGTCAAAAAGTTAATGATGCGTGACCGGGGGGATTATCACTCTCTCTTTCCACACAAGTTTGGAGCGCAGAGCATAAAAAGTTCCACATACGTGTATTATCCTTTCACATGATGCGATCAGCGTGAACAGAGCCTTCAGGACATTCAGACAGGACATGGCAGGCAAACAGGTATTCCAGGTAAATTGCCTGATAAACAAAATGATGATGTAGAGGGTATTAAAGTTGCTACATTTGTAGTTGGTGAAGGTCCATCCAGGTAAACAAAAGACAACCCATTACTTCTGGATGAATAATAACGGAGATTATTTCCGGGAGTGTTGAGTGTGGGACTGATTTTGTATGGGAGTCTGCATGAGGGTTCCTGGCAATTCTTGGTTGTAAAAAGGAGCTCTTGTATTGGTTAATCATTAATGGTAATTTGACTTGTTATATTACATTTGCAAGGTTTCCATAGCCTCTAAAAGGCTTGAAGAGACGGCTGAAAAGAGCTGAGATCTGCTAGAGAGTACATTTTGCCACCCTCACCCCGGTAGAGGCTAATCTCCAAGCAGATTACTCTCCAAGCAGAGGTTTGGGTTTTGGGGGTATTTTTAGCATGTTTTTAGGCTTTTTTATCGGGGTTTCTCTTTTGCACTGAATTTTTTTTCCCACCAAACCCAACCTCTGCAGGCAGTTGAAAACTTCAATGGGCTATAAACCTAATCATTTCAACACATTTCAGTCGTTCTGCAAGGAGGTGTGAACCAGACTTTGTGGTGGATTATCACACATCCAGCCAGTCAGAAAGGCATTCATTCGGCCACACGCCTCCTGCTGACTGTGCCTATTCATGCGTCTGCTTCATACCTCCTTGCAGAACGACTGAAATGTGTTGAAATGATTAGGTTTATAGCCCATTGAAGTTTTCGACTGCCTAAAAACACGCTAAAAATACCCCCAAAACCCAAACCTCTGCTTGGAGAGTACAAGCAGATCCCTTTTTGGGGGGCAAGACTTCAGTGGCCGGCAAAACTTCTCTGGCTAATGGATACTGTCTTGCCATCAAAAGGGATCTGCTTGGAGATAAGGTAGAGGCTAAGCTTTCCTTACAAGCTCCTTGGTTACTGTGAAAGGTGAAAATGGGAATTGATTTCATTGGATCATGGAGGTAGAAAACTGATTTGACTGTCATTGGATTGTCACTTCTGCAGAAGAGTGCATGCAGCCCAGATCAGCATGACCAGCTGAGTGGGGAAGAAATCAGCCGTCTACCACAGTATCATCCACACCTGCAGAAACACATGGTCAGGATGGACAGAGTGCTTTGTTTTTAACAACTTTGCTCTACAAGTTTGATCTACTCTAAGTCTAAAAAGTCTAAGCAAAACATTTTTCCGACACTGGACTCCACTAACATACAGTCTTCAACAATACACTGCATATCGATATCTGAAATGAGAAAATGCATGTGTGTCCTAAGTTAACTCCCTGCTCACATAAAAAATCAGCACTTGCTGTATCAAAGTGGTCGGGCTTATATGTATATACATGAGTTGTAAATAAACCTCTTGACTTAATTGTTCTCAGGTGAAAGAAGTGATGTCACCGTTTGCTCGGCAGCCAGGATCTTACCTTATACGGAGAAGTCAGAGCCTACAGGGAGCTTACACTGTGTCTGTGATGTAAGTATTATCATGACCTAAAGTCATCATATCATTCATTGTTCCTTTGGTATGGATGCTTTACAGTTCAAAACAGTTGGAAATTCATTTTCTCTCCCACACTAACACAGGCACACAGACCTTCATCTTTACCACATACCCATCCTGCAGCAGGACAGGACATATGGTGTCACCCCTGACCAGGTCTTCCCTTCTATGGCAGCCATGTTGGACTATTACTCCCACCATGACATCCCAGGGAGTAACGTTAAACACATTCGGCTCAGAAATCCTATCTGTCAGCACCCTGTGCAGGCAGCAAGGTACACCTTTATTGCATTACTGGACCAAGCTGCAATCATTTCATGCTGTTCTATTTGTATCATGTCAATGTTTACCTTCAATTTTGTTTCATGTATAAATTCATGAAAAATGACTTTCCATCCTCACTTTTTCCTGTAAATGTTTCAGACAGGAGAGGGAGTTAGACTTTTCTGCAGAAAGGAAACCTTCCGAGCGTTATGTGTCAAGACCATTGGCTGGCGTGAAAGGCTCCCCATTGCAGCAGAAGCAGCAGGGACTGCCAAGCCGACCCCAGAAGCCTCCAACAGATGACATGTTTGCAGATCACCATGACGTTCCCCATGATGCTAAGCCAAGGCAGCCCTCAACACTGATGTCACAGGATGAGGACGTGGACGGCGCCTGCAGTTGTGGTATCCCCCACCAGATGGCGCACCTACCACATGGTTGGGAAGTCCACAGAGTCCATCACAAGGAGGATGCCAGCAATTTTGGCAAACTTTTCTTCCACAACAGGACAACAGAGGAGACTTCGTGGACATTGCCATCCAGTGTTTCTTCTCAACTAACAGAAGAAAGTCGCAGAAATTTGGATCACCTTGAGTCTAAAGGGGGAGAATTTTTTGAGAATTCTGAAAATGTTGACTGAACTCATTTTTATGTCAAATCAAATTGTTTTCAAAATAACTTATACTAAGTCACAAGCTATTTTGCCTGTTAGCACATTTATAGGTGAGGCCGAACTTAAAAAAGAACCACATCAATCAGTCCTAATTCACATCTTAATGGATAACCACTCACAATAGGACATTTCCAAGAAAAAACACTTCTAATTCCTTATTCATGAATGGATGGCTAGGTTTCAGCAGCAAGGACAGGATGGTATGCATAATGTCATTGTCAACTTGTGGAAATGTGCTTTCAATCATTTATTTTATTAATTAGTTATTATTTGCAAGCTCAAGTTATTTCACTGATTGTATCATTATGTATCTTCTTCCTCTGTTGGCTGCTAGTTATGTATATTCTGCTACATGTATATTGATATATTGATTTGGTTTTGATCAAGTATAAGTACACCAAAGGTTTTATTCTGTTTCTGTGCAGTTGTATTTTTGAGTGTTTGTATGCAATTACCTCTTCTGTGTTTTTATGTTTCCATTATATGTATTGTTACTCTAGTCCACGGGTGGCTGAAAGCAAATAAAGATCACTTTACTTATCAAACTTGTATCTAGTTTGATTTATTTTCATAATAATCTCCTTTTTAGGCCGTTTTCTACTATTTATTACGCCTGCAAAATGAGTCTGGTGGAGACTAGGCTTTGATGATAGTGCGTCTCGGGATATTAGTACTAGTAACTGACAAGAGCGCCCTCCAGCGCTCCGGTGTGATATTCCACTTCCGGGCAAGTCGGGCGTTTGCAAACCGGAAGTAAAGACAGGCGCGAAATTCCACAGCTGATTCTTGCTTGTGGGCCAGTGCTACTGTTGCAGCTTTTTATGTACATGGAAACCTGAAGTTCGCTGCCTGAAGTTACCATTTTTCTCCCACCAGTTAAGGTAAGTGCGATATGAATATTGCAAGTCAAGTGTTGACTACATGAAGATGTATAAATCGTCTATAAAATGTAGGCAATATATACGATCGCCTTGCAAAGAGCAAGGAGCTTCCTTGCCTTGATATTTGTTAGCACCCAATTTTCAAAATTTCTATAACGTTACAAAATTAAGTACTTCCAGGAAGCTCCCTGGTACTCCCAAGGAACTTAGAATTAAGCTCCTTGGGTCTCTAAATTGGAGGGAAGAAGGAAACTGATAATGGGAGGGAGCTTCAGATAATCACAAAGGCACATGGTATACCTTTGAAAATATTGCATGGGGCCATGGGGAAAACACGTTAGTCTCCACCAGACTCCTTGCAGGCTGAATAAATAGGAGAAATCGGCCTAAAAAGGAGAGTAACTGGCCAGGGGTGTTAGCCGGCCATAAAGGGTCTAATTGCTTATAAACATGTAAATACAACGTTATATATATATATCCTGAACGGTGAACAATGATTTTCCACAACAAATAATACTGTTTTTATGTAGCAGTGAAGCTGTCACCTCAGATATACCACAGTTGTCATGGCAACAGGAGGCAGAGTCCAGTTCCAGTGGGACAACTTCCCGCCCATGCCGACCAATCGCTCCTTCTGTACTGCAGCAGAGGGAGCGGATGCAAAACTGTATGTGATTGGGGGCTGCGAGGAGAATGGAGTTCCCATCGCTGCATTTGAAGCCTACGATCCCTCAGCAAACTCGTGGGAGAAGTTAGACGCCATGCCAACAAAGAGGGCGGGGCCTGCAGCGGTGTCGGTCGGGCAGAAGATCGTTGTTCTGGGCGGGGTGAGTGTGACCCAGGCACCGCTGGATGCAGTGGAGGTGTTTGACATCGTGGAAAGGAAATGGACGCAGCTGACTCCACTCATGGCAGCAGCCTTGGGTATCGCTGCAGTCGCTCGAGGTAAAGTGTCACTCACAGTCACAGTCATAATGTGCTGTACAATTTTCAGGAAGGCTGTCAGATGTCAGAGCTAAGGAACTATATGTATCTGTATAACCACCCTTTGGCATAACACACTAGCTTGAGCTCTATGGTAACCTTCACACATGCACTAAGTCAGGCTTTTAGCTAGGGGGTGTCCAGGGTGTCTTTTGGACGCCCTGTACTAGAAATAATAAGAAATTGGACGCCCTACTTTTTGTAGGACACCCTAAAGACGCCCTATTTTTTCCACTCCCAACCCTGCCTTGCACACATGCCTCCCTTCAGCCTTACTATAAATATAAAAATGATGGTTTACTGAAGGAAAAAACTCAAATTTACACCCGAAAATGCAGAAAGTAGTGTTTGAGAGCATTATGAATTTCAAAAAAGCCCCCTAAAATCTTGCACTCAGCATGTCTTCACTGTGCATAGCATACAATAAAAAAAAATAGGACGCCCACCAAAAAAATACCTAGCTAAAAGCCTGCACTAAGTCCTGATCTCACAATTATGTCCCCTTAGATGGGAAGGTGCTGGCAGTGGGTGGAATGGGAGTGGACACAAACCCACAGGACCACCTGCGCAGTCTGGACATCGACAATGACCGGTGGAAGGGCCTGGCTCCCATGCCCACTGCCAGGTACGCAACTGGCATCTTCATGAGGGATGACAAGCTTTATGTCCTGGGTAAGTTACTCCTCCTGTCTACTGTAATAGATTACAACTACATGTCAAAATCACGTACTGCGTCAGATATCATCAATAGCAGCTGTATACCAAATTTCCACTTCATTAGGATGGTTTGATGGCATAAAGTTAGTTTGACACAACCAGAGCTTTTCTGTCTGCCAAATACATCCCTCCGCGGGTGGGAAGGAGTATCACAATGTAAGATCCCAAATTGCTGGCAAAAGAAAACTAGAAAAGCGCTCCATGTTAGGCCATGCTGTGTAGTAGAGCACAAAGTCAATACCGGTATATATTATTGTTTCTGCAAATCAGGTGGCAGACAAGGAAAGGAACCATGTGCAGCATTTGAAATGTACGACATCCCCAGTAACACCTGGACCAAATTCCCCGACATTCCCAGCAAGCGTGTGTTTCCGCAGTACGTGATGACGGAGAGCGTCATTGTCAGCTTGGGAGGACTGTTTACACAAGGCCAGGACAGGAGATTCTCAGGGACCACAGAAACATTTGATACTGGGAAAGGTATGTTACACTCAACAAAAAACGTTTGGATTTCATCAATCATATTGCCATTATACACCTGATTAAAGTATGCACCTCAATATTAAGTATGAATCCCTTCACCAGGAAATTCATACTAGTACTCTGTCACCACTTACAAAAGTTGATTTTCTTGTTTGTACAGGTGAGTCTGGCAGGTGGGAGACCCACAGGCCCATGAAGAACAAACGTGCCGACTTCGTAGCCGGAGTTCTTGGGGAGAAAGTTGTCATTGTTGGAGGCTTGTGTAAGTTACTCTTGTTTTTTTTCTACCAGAATTTTTTAGGCTGACCTGTAGACTTTGTGAAATGACAACGTGACTGTTGTGATAATATTACTTATGGGTCCCTTGATGGGTGTATGTGGTCATTGGGACACTGCTGGTCACACTTCGATCTTCTTTGATTTTAGGTCAAATAAAGGAGCTAAAAATTTAGACTTTAAACTCCGAGTTCAAATCATCAAAATATACAATTGATGCTGATGCTCTCAATTTGTTTTATTTCTTGATCAGCTGTGGGAGGACCATTGACCTCCGTAGAAGGTTTTGACTTGGAGAGGAAGAAATGGTTCAACCTCCCAAATCTCAACACACCGCTCTGCTCCTCCGCTTCCCTCATATATCAAGGGCGCCTCCTGGCAATTGGCGGCATGTCTGCAGGCCCCACCAACATGGTAGCAGCATTAGGGATCAAGAAATAGGACAGACCTTTGAAACCAAGTCATGAGGCAGCTTTAAGAAAGAAACAGATTTGGTGAAGGACAGAATTGACAAGAAAAAACAGGACTTTGAACTGACAAAACCCTTCAGAGTTTTAATACAAACATTATATTATGCATCAGGATGCCAGGCATTTTACTTGACAGAATCTTGTTGTTAAAGGGCCACACAAGGTAATTTAATGGTTCTGAGATCATTGCAGAACAGAACTGGAGTGACAGGAAAAACAAAATCATAATTAGGCATTCTTTGAAAAACCCTTAAGGTAGTGTTCCCACTGTACTGTACTGTACACTACTTGCCATCTTTTTATGCATGCAATCAATGGAACAAAATTTTAACCTAATAGAGTATGGTAAAAGATATTTCAAGTAAGACTTAAACAATAATATTGAATGAAATTTGGTACTATATATTATCAAACTTGTCAGAAAAATGTCAATAACATGTCAGACAAAATGTTAACCTTGTGACATTGAATTTTATAAAACATTGCCATGTTTTCCACTGAATGACTACTAGTGTTGTATAGAGTGTGAGCAATGATGTGATGTGTCAACATGCTGCTACATCTTATTTGGAAATTTTGTGTAATGTATACCCATTTTTAGAATTATAGATACGCATTTGTTAGTCGAGCCACATGTAAATGTGTCCATGTTCTGTGACTATGTATGACAGGTAGCTGAATGAAATAATTAAGGACGTCATAGAGGCCAGCAGAACATGTATGAACAGGATTGCGCTGAATAGATTATAATATATAAAAATTGCACATAATGCGTTTTGTTGTGGATAGTAGATGTGGATAGTAGATGTGTACCTATAAATGTATAATGCTAGTATTAGTGTATTGTGTGTTATGTAATTTTGTGTACCCAAAGTAGACCTGGGTGTACAAAGCTACAGACATTGTAGATGAGGCAGTTTAGACAATAGTCAGTAAACGTTTGGGATTCTGTACAAGCATGGTGTCAACATCCTCCTCTGACAGCCCTCTCTGCAGCATGTACGGGACGATGTTCTTCAGCAGGTAACAGTAACCCTCCCCTCCGTACCTCAGCAGCCGCGTTTTAAAGGCAATGTCATGTGACAGCACAACCTGGAAAGTACAGAGTCCTTATAGAATCAATGCAACCATGATCAGACAATGACTCCTTACATCTATCATTTCCAACATCTAGTCTGCATTTAAATTGGATAACAGGATTAGAAATCCTTTTTTCTTCATCAATATTTCGGGTTGCCGTTAACACTAACCTCTTGTTTTAGAAGGCAAGCCATAAGCCAGGCCACCTGTAAAGGTATTGCTAACATGCTGGCCAAAGTGGGACACAGTTTATTTCAGAAGCTGTAACTTTCGTGCTTGGCAACCTGGTGTCTCCAATAGTCTCACACAGAAACCATGACGTGAGTGGCGACAGTAGGTATTTCAAACTCTGGGTATGAAAACAGGCAATTAAAACATTTCTTTGCAAAGATATTCTACTTACCATGCAAATCAGAATGATGAACTGTTCATCACAATAGCCATTGCTGATTGTCAGTGCTAGGGAGCTATCTTTCAGAATGACCAACATCTCAATATCCCTCATAAGAAATATCCAGACATACCTGTTTGATAAAGCCAGCATCTCTTAGTTCTCGGATCATCCTACAGCGCTCAAAGTCGCTGGGATAGTCAATACCGTGGGATAGAGCATGAGTGAAAGAACAGCCCCAGCCAAACTGGTCAAACTCCAGAACACAGCCCTGCTTGGCCAGGGCGATCATGTCAGGCACCGTCAGGATCCCCCGATCCACATGACTGATCACCACTCGTGACAGATCCGCACCGGAGGATCGAAGGATCTGGGCAACTTCAACTGGTGACTCCTTGCTATAACCTGTAAGGAGAAGAATTCAAGGAGAAGATAAGTTTGCAATACTTTGTATAATTGTTCGATAGTACATATTGTAAATGCATGTTTGCTGTGTTTTTCATGATGCCCTCACACTGCAAAATAAAACCACAGTAAGTACTCCAGTATGTGCTTTTGTCGACTTTTTTTCAATAGTTGAATATACAAGCTGCAGTGGGCTTGATTAATATAGATTGGTCAAAACATACATAGAAATATGATTTTTTTTCAGCACTCGTCATATGGTAAATTCAAAACAAGGAAACTTTCCTATAGTACAATAACACTACCATGTAAACTACAATAAGTGGACTTCACTTTGTATCTCATTCATGATAATAAAGCAAACACCAGTTGTAGCTACAGCAGGAGGAAAGCTGAGACCTGGGTGGATGGAGATGGACACGCCTGTCTGCTGCTGAGTGGCAGCTGCAGCCTGTAGCACCTTCACCTCATTCTCTGTCAGGACGGTCGTACAGCCCAGCTCCCCCAGGATACCGGCATGCACACCACCTGTCAGGAGGATGAGTTTGTTAGCCAATGTCAGTCGTCAATTTATAACCAATATGCAGTTACATGTGCCATCATCTGGATTCTGCAGTCACAGGAACAATGATATTACATAGCCACATCATGCTAGTGACATGAGATTGTTAGGTACACCCCATGACATGTTACTATCGTACCAGGTATGTCACAGGCACAAAGTTGATGAGGACAGCTGCTCGCAAGCAAATACAGCATATTTCACCCTATAACCTGCTGCCCTAAAATTAAAATTAAACATGTTTCTCAACAGACCCACATTTGTGTCCTGCTAGAATCTCCTGCAGGAACTGCTCTGTCAGCTGTTGGACTGTTCTGTTGTCCATGTCCGGAGGGTGGACACGTGACAGGTAGTAGCCAGTGCCGTGAACAATCTTCACTCCTGTAGCCTCGCTGATTCTGGCGAGAGCTGCAGGATCCCCGTTCATCCCACACACAGACTGTTCAACTGAAATCAACAACAGGAAGTTATGGAGCAATTTTTAACTGTAATTTCCAACACATAAAATTTTTGACTGTACAACTCCAGTCTTTTCCAAGGAAGGAGAGATCCACCACTTCAGTGATGTCAGGTTATGCAGATGACACACGTGACTCAGTGAGCAGTGAATCATGAGTTTGTGGCGCCCCAGTCTTCAGTGTTGAGGGACACTTTCTGCAATCTATGATCATCTTCTCATGCCACGTGTGTCATCTTAAGGTGTTTCCATCAGTGTTAGACCCTGACACATTCTCATTGGTCAAATTTGTTAGTTGTGTTGTTTTAACAAATAAAACAGTTGGTGTTCTAATCTTACCAATGGTTCCCCCTCCAAATTTCTTGTAGGGTTCCATTTCACTCATCATCATCTGTTCGTTGTCCAACACCATGTTGTCTTTGTTCTACAATAGAAGAAGGATAATACCTATAAGACCACCTGCAAGGATTATTTGATTTGGATAGATTTGATCTTTAAATATTGTAAACTGAAACAGTTAGCTACCACGTACTAATTTTCTATAACTCTATAGGGGTTTAGTAATGACTTTACCAAATCGGACAGTCTATCAAAACAAATTAAAGATCAAGAACACAAGATTACAGACTATGAATGATGTACCTGGTTGAAGTACCCCCTGCAGTGCCCAATGTTGTTGATTGACAGTGGCTCCTCCCACAACTTCAACTGCTCATCCAATGACAGCCCGCCTACCCTCGCGCGTGAAGATTCACCCTTAGGCAGCCCGAAGTTCTTGGCATAGTCCACTATGATGTGCTCGTGCATCAAAGTCTTCCCCAAGCTGATCATATAGAAAGGTAATCTTTTCAATCAACAACTTAGTTGCCTGACCATTTAAATCATATTGTGGCAGAATCAATTATGGCCAATCATGAATTAGAACTAGAACGCAACCCAAAAATATGTCTGGATTTTTTGTGCTGTCAAGCTAGCTAAATCGCGGAACATGTAGATGTCTGTACAACTTTTATCACATTTATAAAGCTGTTACAGGATTAAATAGGCTTGTTTGTCATAAGTTTACTGTGAAATGTACATTAACAAAAGTTTTTGCGCATTTACAAGTCGAGAACGATTGCCGAACTTTGGATACCCCCTTACGGAAATCAGACTCTATTCTTAATGAGGAAATTGTATAAATCCGCTACATTCCACGATATACTAGTACTGTAGCCTAAGTGCCAGGCAAGAGAAAGGAAATTCAGTGAGCCCTAAACCGGCTCTCACCCAACACGCCCCGCTCCCAACACGCCCCGCTCCTGGAGTTGGCACGCGTCCTCGAATTATCTATCCCGCCGGGAGAGATAAATTAGACCCCGGGTGCCAACTAGTGGGGGCGTGAGGCGCGTGGTCTGGCACCCAGGCTATCCACGATAGGACTTTGACCCTGTTTGGCACTCAAGTTTGACTGAGGAAGAAATGACCTTTGGTCAACTCTTCAGATATGATGTTTACTTTGTAATTTTAGACATGATGGCAGAAATCATAGACTCTCATCTATAAATTGACTATTAGGACAACGAAGGCATTACCTGTCTGGTGAGACTGGCCCGGTCACTGTTAGTACTTTGCCTTGTAACTGTTGTCTGCTGTAGACCACTGACTCCATAGCGCTGCTAGAGATAAAGTAAGAACTTCAAGCACGATACTGACATTGGGTATACCACGTCTGTGCAAGTTACATATAACACAAACACAGTGGCTAAGGAATTTCGTAAGACAGCTGCTAATTAAGGGCAGATGCAACGTAACTCACAACGAAGCGTACAATGCGGCTGAGCATGACAAATCGTGTCCGATCGGGACTCCAACTCAGTCAGATTTAATAACGTTTAAATAACGTTATGGCTCATTGCGTATCATGGCGACTGATGTCTACACTAGCTGCTTTTGGACGGTTTGAGTCTATCTCTTCCTGGGCACCATTATAATACACGTATTATTACCGATTCTATTTGATCTTAGGCAGACGGTGATGTTATAATACACAAACCATAAGCAATGTTGTTCACGTCAACCGACTGCAGTTCACGGAAGGGTCAAGGCAAACTACTGTGGCGTACACCGTGCAGCAGCCCCCTCTAGCAGTTCATGCCAAAATGCTTCGGCGTAAAGTCACTGTATGTGGGCACATGAGGTAGTTTGCTAGTCGTGCAAAACTGTCCGATGTGTCAAGACCACTACATGGTCGCCCTACAACGCAACTCGCAGTAGAACTAGAAGAGGTTTTGCTGTACCTGAAAGCCAGCTTCTGTTACCAGGGGATATGTTTTGTGCTGGATGTGAGCTTACTGCCACCATGGCAGACTGATACAGAAAGATAGACAATGAAAATGAAAGTTTATTGCAAGTTCCTGCCTGTAGGCTAATTGCAAGTACATATAACATGAAAATGAAAGATGTACAACATGATGGATGACAATTCTTGCAAATTTTGACAAATTTTGCACCATTACAAAAGACTGAAAAACAGTAACAACCCCAGCTTGGTTATTAATGCTCAACCTGTAACCATGTGTAACATATATAAGTACTTAGGTATATACATTGACAATAATCTGAACTGGAAAGGGCATGTTAAACACGTACTGGGTAAGCTAAGACGATCCCTAAGTATCATGAAGCACGTCAGTCCCTTCATATCCACATTAGCACTACGTACTTTGTACAACAGTATTTTTCTACCATATGTAACCTACACAAGTACTGTTTGGGACACTGCACCATTACAAGAGCTACAGAAACTTCAACGGATGCAGAACAGGGCTGGGAGGCTGCTGCTGGGAGCCCCGCACAGAACGCCGTCGGCTGAAGTACGGACTCGACTGGGATGGAAGGACATCAAATCCATACACAGAGACCAGAAATCCCTGCTAACTTATAAAAGCCTTAATAACTGTTTGCCAGCCTACATGAGAGAACTGTTTACATACTGTAGTGATAGGGCAGTAAGAACCACGCGGCAAAGTGTATCTGACCTTTTGTATGTGCCAAGGGTTCGTCGGGAAGTGTACAGAAGATCAATTTCCTACTCAGGATCGGTACTGTGGAATAACTTGTCAACTGAGTTAAGAACGGCTTCGTCAGTTGCAGCGTTTAAAAACCGGCTGCGTCAAGTCACAAGTTAGAAATTAGAATGACTAAATTTGTGAAGTGAATTTTGGATGTTTGAAACTGATGAGTTATACGAACAGAGATAGTGTTTGGTTATTGTATAACGTTACTGTGTATATATTTATATTGTAATTATACGCCGAATTGTAACTGAACTGAAGAAGAATATGCAAAGACCCATGACCTGCCTCCCCTTGACCTCTTGAAAAACGGCTTAGGCCGAAGAGTTTGTACTGCTACGAAATTGTACTGTACATTTTCAAGGTTAAATAAAGGTTGAAAAAAAAAAAAAAAAAATTCTAACTTATTGGGTTCGACTTCTTTTACAGAGACATTAGATGATGAATGATCCCACTTTAACATATATTGATATGACTTGTGTAAAACTGAATTCAATGCTAGTGCAATTTAGATAAAATTGAGCATGGGTGTCATGTTGTTGTTGACTACATCATCATCATCATCATTGACTACATTGTCATCATCAACTTATACATGCATTATACTGAAATGACAGAAATATCCTCTGTGGTTGTATACAAGGTAAGTTTTCAATATTTAGATAACATAAGAACAGAAAAGTTGTATTCTGTATGAAACTAGAAAAAAACATGCATTATAAGCTCCATATGTTCATATATTCACAACTGCCTTTAGAAGCCAGAAGAAGTTGAACCTGTACATAGTAGTTCACATTTGTCTTTATAGTCTGAAAGTTCTACATGTAATAAGATGCAATGTAATTTTACTTTATCTCCTTGACCTGTAAGAGCATTCATTTTTTATCAAATGTACAATAAAGGTCTATCATTCATTCATTATCATTGTCAACATGTCTCCATCTCGTCCGTACTGCCTGCCAACCAAGTCTTCTCAGTGAAACTGCAGAGCCAATCAGGAAGATGGTGGCTATCACACCAAAGTACACGCCATAGACGATAAACTGTGAACAATGAACATATAAGAATTAGTGATCATACAAGATACAATGTTTTAGGTGACTACAAATGTGTACAACTTGGGAGGATTTTTTTACACCCAGTACATCAACTACAACTACATCTCTTTGTCAAATGACTATTTCTTCAAGAAATAATTTTGACTTTAAAAGCAGGCTTCTTAGTTTCATGTCTTTGACATCTGTTAATTACAATAGAAATCAAACCTGTATTTAAAAAAAAATTGTCTCTCAGGTTTGTTTCATACCTGAGTTCTGACCGATGCATCCAGTCCTTTCTTGTCCACCAGGATTGCAGTGAGAATAGTTTGGAGCAGGAGGGCCACAAATGTGTTACAGCCAAACACCAGGGCATAACGTTCCCTTGTCAGCTTCTCGGCAATCTGAAATCTGAACATTTGATAGTTGTGATTCAGGAACTGCCAGAATGCCTGCAATTTTTTTATATTATCTGAAAAGTCATAAACTCTACATGGTGCAACATCATACATGTATGATATGTCATTCTTACATGTAATTCCTCTCTAAGACATGCAGTGACCAACTGATCTTTGATGAAAACAATTATGATAGCCTTCTATGTTCTATACACAATGTGTCAGTTTCCCATTCCAGATTTTTTTCTTCCTCCTTCCTTTCCTCATCATTTTGTCACTCTTTACTTCCCTCTTTTCTTATACTATAAGTTTAGACCTTACAAAAGCTGTGCTTACGTTGTGTCAATAAAGTATTGTTATGTATTTCATGTCAATAATCTTATACACACCAACAATAATGGTTGACCTCAGTTAGCTTTAAGTAAGTTTGCATCAATTTGAGATTTAGCAAGGAACCACTTACGTTGCTATGGTAATAAGGAACTGGTAGCACATCCTGAAGATGATGTAACAGACGTAGTTGACCCAGATCTGGTTTGTTATTGCCATGACAACCAGCAGAACGGCATCCAGAGCTGACAGAATGCCAAGAGTCATCTCTCCAACAACAATCCAGTTCACATGGATGAACCCGATGGAGAAAGAAACACCAGCCCCTGTAATTTTGAAAAAAATATTTTGTCCTTTATCTAGATATGTTAAATAAATGAATTTGTTATGTGACATGGCTGAGGTTAAATAACTTACAAAATTTTAAGATGAAATTCTCATCATTTACCAATATGGAGTCCAACACTCCTACTACTGACCTAAGAGAGTGGCAGCTGCCTCTATTGCCCCGTTCCAGACCTCACCACTAGCGGCAGGGCTGATGATGTCCCACAGGTTCTGGATGTAGTTCCCCACCTGGAAGCTGCCGCAGGTGGCCAGTGACCACCACAGTGACCACAGCACCAGGTGTCGGGACCCGTAACACAACTTGAAGTCTGTCCACAAGTTACGCAATGTGTGGATGATGATGTTGTCTTTTCCTGACCCAGAAGTGTTGACTTCTGTAGCAACTTCACTGAAGTCAGAAGCCTGGAGCTGTGATGGTGTGGGCTCAGATATGGTGTTGTCTGGTGTGTTATCAGGAATGGTCTCTTCACTTGCAGCATTTTCATTTGCTGATGTTGGACTTGGGGGAGAATCATTGTCATCCTGTTGTCGGGAGTACCTGACATGGTGGATATAAAGTTTGTAGGCATAGATTTAGAAGTCCATTTCAATAAGACAATAGGTACATGTAATGTTAAGTATCTAACTCTCTATATACATGTACATGTTACAGCTTACATGTACATTGGTATCACCATCAGCTGTTGGTATCACCATTCATGCATCTGTCCAAATCTTTTACATCTGCTGATTTGCATGTACTTAATACAAAAAAGTAGACTGATGATAGCCCCCCCCCCCGAGAGTGAGTGACTTAATAATATTTTCATACAAACCTGTGGAAGAACATGCTTTTTCTGGCACTTGGTAGAAAGATGGAGATACAGAGAGCCACTGTCACACTGGCCAGAGACAAGTAGTTCAGGGGGAAGTAGCCAGCTTCTTTAAATCCTGATACAACAGCCTGAAATTTGAAAAGGCAAACTGATTTTTGTACATTTTTTGAGAATGACAATACCAAATTTTGATCTAGTCATTTAATACTAGTAGTTTCTATTTCTTAAAATTCAACAAAAACTCTTGTTCAATTATAGCCTGGGTACCATCAGGATTTTCGCTACGCAACGCTCGAAAAAAATTGAGCGTTGCGTAGCGAAAATCCGGCTAATTCAATCAGACTACCTCTTATCTTTGTGATCTCCTGTATTAAAAAAAGTTTTTGGTACAGAATGTGGGCTTTGAATTGCCATTGCTGAGAGTGATAACCATCTAGCAATGCCAACAAAGCCAACACTTGGGGCAACCGTCTGTCCAAATTACCTGTCCCACCACCCCAGCAGCACACCTCCCCACTAGAACCACACTCCTAGTGTAGCTGGTGACTTTCTGGTAGCGCTCGTGGGAGACGATGACATAGATGTAGGAGTAGTAGGCTATTTCTGTTGCCGTGGCCACTCCGTACACAAACTGCATGAACTGCATGGCCAGCACTCCTTGTCCCCACAGCAGGAGAACCCATGTTCCTGTAATGTAGTTTTGAGGGTTAATTAAAGATTTAATGACCCGTCCGAAGTGTACAATGATAAGGCCTTGTCAGTTGCTATAACATCTATAACCACTGAATAAAACCACTGAGTGAGCAAAGCAGACAAGACACAGGAGGGTCGTTAACATTATTATCATATAGCATCATATAGCAATTAAGTTTCATAAATTAAATCGTGTGAAATATTGTATGTCATTTTACGTGTTCCACTTGGGATCACTGGCAGTCATTTGAACAGAATGTGTGTGCCATTTGGGGCCAAGGGCAGTTGCTGTGTTTATGGGATTTTAAACACCATGGTTTTTATGAGATTTAATCACTATATTCAAGTCCTTGCTATATCTAGACTATGTTACGTTACATAAAGCCTAAAGATTACAAAATGTTAAATAATGTAAAAACAACAAAATACTACATAATACAGGAATTTCCATACCAATATATGCCAGACCCTCGAAGATGATGACTGGTTTGTATCGAAGGAAGTCTGTCACCAGGAAGACCAGCAGCAGACAGGCCAGGTACGAGTACGTCCACACAGGGTAGATCTGGTTATCAACCTGCTCCTCGGTTAGATTCTTATCAGGACCCTTCAGGTACGGCGTAAGGAAAGGCTCTGATGGACGCATCTCCTTAAAGAAGCCATAGAAGCAGAGGAGGAGGATTGCTCTTGTCTCTGTAGTGACTGCCATCTGACGTCACGGTGCATCTGTCTTCCTCTGCCGTGTATGTCAGATATATGTGCACTCTATCCTATCTAGTTAACGTAAAAGCACGTACGGTAGGACACGTCTTCCTTCGAGAAACACGGAAGTTGATCTGACTTTTGACCTTTTGACCCGTTTGCAAAGCATAGTGGGTAGAAATGGTCCACTTTAAAATTAGGTAACATGCTAACATATAATCATGATATCACCGTCACTCAAAAACCTATTACACTAATTGGCACTTTTTCTGCATAATAAAACAATGTCTTAATATTGATACCAATAAGTTGAAATAAGTTGAAATATTTCTCAAGGTAAAAGTGTTGTATTACTACGCCCCCGTGATAAGCATGGACTATTCCCCGTGACTTCAGTGTAACGTGACCTGTAATATTTTTTCAAGAACCAGATCTCATCACAGAACGATTGCTGTAGCGTTTTAAAATGGAGAAGGAGTTGGATAAACACCTTGAGGAAACGTAAGTAACGCTAGTGTTCTGCCATTGGTTAGGTTTGATGGCCAAACACGAAAACATATTATCAAACCTTGTTGTCGAAGCCGTTCAAAAAAATAACTGAGGAGGGGGGGTTGAAGAGGTCGGATTTTACATAGGGGGTTAGTGAGTGTGGGTTTGGATTGAGGGGGGGTTTAACCCTGGATTTGGATGAAATTATGGGGGGTCAAGTCGCTTGGATAGAATTTTTAAGGGGCCAAGGCCCCTGGATGAAGGGGGGTCAAGGCCCTTGGATAATAATGAAAGGGGAGTCAGAAAGTAGAAAATCCAAGCTCTTCAACCCCCCCCTCCAAAATTTTTTTTTTTTTTGGAACAGCCCAATTTTTTATGTTAGATGTGTAACGTTATGACTACTAAGTATGACTATCTTCCCTATGCCCACAGCATGAGTAACCATGGTGTGCTGGGGACCCTGTGTGCCGACCACCACGGCATGTGTCTGGGAGGTGAGTGAGAGAAGGAGGGATTGATTAGGGAGATGAGTGGGATATTTCCGCCCGATAATTTTTCTACCACACCACATTAGAGATCTAGATATGGAAATATAAAAATTTAAAAAAATCAGCGACAGGCAACTGCCATGACGTAAGAGTTGGTACCATTTTTCTGTAACATTGACATTCAATACATGAATGTCAATGTTAGGATGACAGGTGTAAGTTAACATTATCTCTCCTAGTATTAGTGTAAATGTTACTTCAACTCATGACAACGATTGCTCCAACTATTACTTCGCCAAGTAGTAGTAGTATTATACTTTACTCTGTTATAGCTTCATTCAAAGTAAAATTTTGGTTTATCAAAAGATTTATGAAGGGTCACAAAGTTCTCTCGCACAAAGAAACAATGCTTGTTAGAAGACAGTGTAGTGAGCTAAATCACAACATAGAGGGTCCAAATCATAGCCCACACATTCAAACAGCTTGGTGAGAACCCTGGGTTGAAAGATGGATAGAGGGGAAAGCTCTAGCTGTCTGTAAATAGAGAAGGTAAAAACTTGTTTTTCTCCAGCCAAAGGTTCAGTGTCCACAGAAGCAGCAGGAATGGTCACCCGACTGTCGGAGCTGGCTGGACAACTGGACCCATCCTCGGAAGAGGATCCAATCATCTGTGTGGAGTCAGACGCGTCGTAAGTTTCACTCCATCCTAATAGTAATAGTGCACTCTGATGAGGGTCTGCATGGGGGATCCTTGCAGCATTTTACTGTAAATTTAGGAAGGAGAAGTCTTGTGCATATATGCTGATCTCATGCCCACTGGGTGCTGTGAATTGGGCAACCCCATTGGTCACAGTGCTTATGGGATTTAATCACCAGTGGCAATGTGAAATGGAGATTTCTGATTGGTCGACGTCTTCTGGCTATATGATAATGACACAAAGAACTGAGAAAACATAACAAAAACATAACAAAATGCCACCTCAGCATTGAGAAGGTTACCAGAAAGTGAGGCTGGTTGGGAATTTTTGGGATACATGTATGTGATTTAGTTATGATGTGTTTTTTTTTCTTTTATTCCAGGACCTTGATGATCAAAAAGCATGATGACATCACAATGGCAATACACAAAGCCAAAGTACCAACATAGAGACAGTCGTACATGCAGTTCAATTGGAGATTCCATCATAGTTCATACTGTGCAGGGTGACCCACCAACTCATGGAGCAAATCACCTGAGAATAGGAATGTTTCCATCAAGCAGAACTAATATGCTTTGATACCCTAAATTTATGTCATAGCTGTGCTGTGATAATGTTCCATGCAGGTATTCTGTAAGAATATGACTGACAAAATATCATTAGGGTATTTAAGCATATTTGAAGCAAAGCATATGAAAGCATATTTTGCACTACCCCATGGAAAGCTTACTATAGTAGTGCACTCCTAAAGTTGGGTATAAAATGTTCCCCTTAGAATTGTTTTCTAGGTAACCCTGCATTATTGGAGGACACAGGAACACATACATACCAATTTAAAGCATATTGTCTTTCTGTAAAGCCTGTTTTCTTTCCATTTTGTAAATTTCTCACCTGTATTTCTCACCTGTAGCCGGTCAATAGGTACCCTGTATGGGTAATGAGACCGCACTTCGGGTAATTTCGGCGGTAGCAGTTCTTCTTCTGTGTTCAGTACGTAAAGGTGTAGTGTACATATCCTGGTGTATTCTCCACTCGTGTGCAATATGGTTCTTGAACTCATTTACTGATTTGCTGGACACTGCTTCCTGGGAAAGAGAGTTCCACACACTTGTGACTCTTGAAGAGAAGAAGCACTTCCTCGTCCCGTGTGATTTTTGTACTTGATACTTGAAGGAGTGGCCCCGTGTGGTGGTTGAAAGACTGGGTTCAAACATGGTCCCTCTACAAATACTGCAGCTGTTTCCAACTCTTACTTTGTCATACCCGTGTGTGATTTTGTAAAGTTGGATCACGTCTGTCCTTTGTCGTCTGAAGTTGAGTGTCGGTAACTGGAGAGCCTGGAGCCTCTGGGGATAAGGCAAGTGGGACACTGACTCCACAAGCTTTGTAGCTCTTCTCTGCACTCTTTCGACACTGTCCCTGTCTCTCTTGGTTGTAGGACACCATATCACGGTTGCATATTCTAAATGTGGACGGACTAAGCTCTTATAAAGAGGTAGAAAAGCCTCCTTGTCCAGGTACTTGAAGGTGTGCCTAATTGCACCCAGAACTCTGTTGGCCTTGTTTACTTGAACCTGGACGTGTGTGCTAAACTTGAGGTTACTGTCAATCGTCACCCCAGTCTTCTCCTCATGTGTCACCTTCAGCGTGTGGAGTGTTCCATCTTCCTTTGTCATAGTGTACTCGTGTGTGGGGTTTCTTCTTCCCAGGTGCATTACTTTACACTTGTCAGGATGAAACTTCATCTGCATCCTAGATGACCATCTCTGCAAAGTATTCAAGTCAGCCTGTAGACATGTGGAGTGTATATTGCTCGTGTGGATTTCTTGGGTCGCATGTGTTATGGTCTGGCTCGTGTGGAGTTCTTGAGTCGCATGTGTCTTGGCCTGGCCTTCACACCCATGTGCAATGGCGTAGATCTTTGTGTCGTCCGCAAACAAGGAAACAAAGTTATGTAGCTCATCGGGTATGTCACTGACGAACATTGAGAAAAGAAGCGGTCCCAACACTGACCCCTTGTGGTACGCCACTCGTCACCGCTTTCCAGCTGGATGCTTGGCCGTTGACTACGACTCTCTGTCTCCGGTGCGTCAAGAAGTTTCTAATCCACAGTAGCAAGTTCTCTGCTATGCCGAAGGATTCTACTTTGTTGATCAACCTCTCATGTGGAACCGTGTCGAACGCTTTAGCGTAATCCAAGAAGATAATATCCACCGGTACACCGTGGCTCAAGGCCTCCGTCCACACATCCAGTGCCTCTAGTAGGTTTGTGACTGTGGATTTACCCTTGGAGAATCCATGTTGTTGTTCGCATGTGAGGTAAAGAACAGGTACTGGTAATGTCTTATACTTAATTCAATCAGTATTTGTGGCCCATGTATTATTTAATAATTCTCAAGAAGAATAAAGAATATAGTGATGTTTGTTCATCATTGTGAAGAATATAATATTAATGGTACTACATACCAAGGAATGATTTTCATGGTCTTCTCAAAGCATGCTGTACTTTCTCTTGGTTATGCGATCAAATATTTTTTCTTGTTGTATAGATTTTTCTGTGATATCTCCCTACAAGCCTACCTATATATAGCTTATATGTTCTTGTTATCCACAATTTCTATATCACTTCTAAGTAGTCTCTATGCCAAATATTCCTTCCTCTTTCATGCCAAGTATTCTTATACCTGGATACAATTTCTTGCATCTTTCCCCATACAAGAATATTTTCTTTCTCCTAGACTGGTAGGAGGGAAGAGTTTTGGGTCTCACCTAGAACCTGGGGACATAAATCTTTGGGTGGAACTGTAAATGTTCTTTCGATCAATTCTTTGCATTCTTTGCAACTTTTGAAAAATAGTGACAATGTGAGGGGCGGGGAAGGATCGTGGGCAATTGATCTGAAGCAAAAAGTGTGCATGTCAGCTTCAGAGAGAGTTCGGCTAGTATTCGGGAGGCCATATTCGGCTGTATATGTGTGTCAGGGGATTTCACGTCGCTATCAATACACCTGGAAACCCCCGCCCGCAGGTAAGAAAAGCACCATTGTTAGCTGCGTCACATGATCTGTCAGAACCACCGCCGACATGGCGAGCAGCAAGGGACAGCCTGAGGTAATCTCGGACTTCGGGCAAATTTGGGACGACATGAAATCTAGACCACTGCTCGAAATTGTCGGCGTGAGTTCTCTGTCTACCGTCGGGACCGTGTTGAATGCTCCAAACCCTGTGTCTAAAGGCTGGGAAGCCCTGGCAGACAAGTTAGGGTACAGTCGCGATAAGATAGAAATGCTCCGGCAGGAGGGAAACAAGATGTACCAGAAGTGCCCGGGTGAGTTGCTGCTGGAGACCTGGGGAGGCCGGGGGTCTGGCAGCACGTTACAGGTCCTGGAGCAGGCTCTGATAGACATCGACAGACTGGACGTTCTAGAAGAACTTCAGAAAGCTGCTAAAGGTGAGGGTAAACTTGCTTCATAATGACGTCTACCAACAGAGATAAACTTTCAAGATACGGTGAGAGTTGTTGTTTGCGACAAGGTAAAATGACAGTTTGTTAGCTGGCACACGACAGAGTGGGTTGGAGGGAGGAAGCTAGCTAGGTACTACTGTGTGCTCGGCTGCATTAAAGCGCCCCCATGTGCACGACCACCCCCGGTGAAGGGGCCAGTAGAATGACACTTGACACTACTTCCGTTTTTCCCTTCCTTCATTTTTGTTTTAGCCAGGTGAGCACACTGTCGTGGCTCCCCGTTCTCTAAAATAAGTTAGGGTTTTCAATTCATTGAGCTCGCCACGAAAGGCAATACTTTTTAGAAACTATGCAGACGAAGTTCTGTGTACAGGTAGTCGCTGCTTTGTGTCAAGCACGTAATAATCATGACACGAAGGTGTACATCACCGGGCACTTCTACTTCCGTGTTACGTACGTCAGAGTATGTTGTAATTGTGGCCATGTTGACGTCTTTACTGTCGTTCGTGAACTCTCAGTGCTTTTGCTGGCTACAAGAGGAAACATGCCCTACTGGGGGTGTATAATATGCTGATGTCACGCCAGTGTGGGTGATAAGCTCTTAATTACCTTTGTACGTTTTCTACAGATGAGTGTACCCTATCGGTTACCATCTGTATTCACCAGAAGGAAAGGTCAATGACCTTACCTGGGGTCTGGGGCATGCTCACCCTCGGGCAAGCTCTAGAGGGCGCTCTTGAAGAAACTGGACTCAGAACTGACGACTTTGAGATACAGGGGAGTGAAAGTGAAAGTGGACAAGCCATGTCGTGGACTACAAAGGCAAGGGAGTGTAAGGTAAGGTATTAGATTAAAGTCCCTCATTCCAACACAAAGTATCGAACCCCCCCCCTCCCCCAACGCCCCTAACATGACCTACCTGGCCATTGGAAAAATCATTGGTCGCAGGAAGAGGATGGTTCGAGTCTATAGCAAGGAGGTTTTAAAAAAGTCTCTATAGCTATATATGTACAAGTGTACGATCTGTTAAGGAATTGTTGTGTTTTACATTTTGTGGATGTGTATGTGATCATCTTGTTCATTAAATTCATTCATTCTTTGTCGACAACCTATTAAGATAGCTTTCTTCAATTATTAGGGTATACACCTTCGTCTCGTGAAGAAGAAACTTCCTCAGCCAAGGGTCGATGTCACCAGGGATGAGGTCTGCTGGGAAGAGCTGACTAAGATCCCCGGCTTCCATCACAACATACCTGACGATCCTGCAGCGGTACGTCATGTCAGCAATACGGTATCGAACGTCATATGGTACAACGTCATATCATACAACGTCACATCTACAGAACTAGTGTGGGTGTTCCATATGACTAGCCTCTATCAGGCTTCAGTAGCGGGCGGAAGAGTAGGCCAAATAGACAGATAACATGCCAGGGGAGTTAGTCCGCTAAGGGAGTACAGTTTCAGTGCGATACTCCTATAGTGGACTAACTCCCTTGGCATGTTACCTGTCTATTTGACCACTTCTTACTCTTTCCATCCCTATGAAGCCTGGTAGAGGCTACCAGGTATCATCCTTCAACCATAGTGTTTTGTTGCATTCTTCGGTCTCCAGCCTTCCTTTTTTTCAAATCTGGCACCAAACGTTCTCCCTATCTCTCCGATGTGCTATTTTTAACATCTCCTATATGAGACATAAATTTAAATATTCATTTTATCACATATATTGTTTGAGGATTGAGCAAACGTATATCTTACTTATCTAGGCCCTCCCCTCCCCTCACATGCACATAACGTTACACAATGGAATTGACATCAACGAAAACAAGATAATAACAACAATGTAGAGGAGAAAAGGGAGGTTTTCTTCACTCTATGAAGAGTTACTATAAGATCAAGCGTTTCGGTGTGATTTTTTGTACCTATTGAACCATTACTGTCTCTCCAGATCCACACATTCATGTTCAACTACCTCCGTGATGAAGGCTGGTACGTCATCAGGAAGTGTGAAAACAACAAGTTAGCAGTCAGCGTGACGTGAGTAATATACTTGCGGGTATATATTCTAATCAGAGATTATTGCACTGTATCACTTTAGATTGTTCTGAGGGTTGCTTCAACAGAGACAAACCATTTTGAGTGAACGCGACCGCCTTCCACAAGGAAAACTGGTGATGTTATGTCTGATCAGTAGGTCAGTTAGGTGGTGGTGGGCACACGAAAAGAAGTTGATCAAGAGTTCCACTGCCGACGATACCTTCGCCAAATCGTGTTAACCTTTAACGATGACGGTTTCTCATTTATCATGCAATGTCCTCATTTACATAAATTATTACAATTGGTCTTCTCTACCCAAATATCATATTAGGTTCGAAAGTCTTATCTAAACAAATTTTAAAGAAGGCTGTTGAAACATTTTCTCTATTATGAAACTGTTAAAACAATACTATCGTCAAAGCTGTAGTATATCTTACTGATCTGCTATGAAATGTCTGCCGTGTTCGAATTCCAGGTACCTGGGAGAAATTCGTCACTTCCGGATCGGCCATACAGACGGAAGGTTCTACTTCCGGAAGGACGAATTCCAAGCCAGCAGTCTGCACGAGCTGATCGAGACTTACAAATGGAACGATCTTCCCGCCAAGTGTGGCCGACTGAACGGCTCGGCTCACAACACGTCCAACCCGCCAGTCCCGGACAGGGAAAGGGGTGTCCGGCTCCTAAAGCCTGTGTGAATTATGGTCATCGAAGTGCAATATATATATATATCATATATCTGTCAGATTTGCCTCTGTGTCTAAAATAAGAATAAACAGTAAACTGACACTCAAATATAAGTATTTCGGGCACTTTCCTCGCAGTACGTCCCATTCACATAATCAACGCTGGAGATCGTTTCACAAGTGTAAGATCATTACAAATTGGACAGGGTGTTAGAGGGAAACAAATGACATTGTAATTATATACAAGAGAATGCTAACCATAAAGCAACGCTGAGGATGATGGTTGACCTAACTTTTAATACTTTATGTGTGTGTAAAGCTTTATGTACGTGTAACTACATTTACGTGTGATCGTTTGAACACAACTACCCGCATATGATAAAACGGTGTTCTTTTTTGAAGTTTTACAATGTACAATTGTTGTGTAAATAATAATAAAATAAAGTACAGTCGACTGAAAACGTACGATTCATTCAATGAATTAAATCATCGTTGTGAGTGAGTGAGTGAGTGAGTGAGTGAGTGAGCCTTCTGATTGGTCAACGTCATCCGGCTATGGGATTCCAAGCCCTAAAAACTGCATTGGATGCCTTAAAACATCCCACGATATCAAAACCGTAGGACGGCCTACCACGAAGGTGACGACGCACGCAAGGCAAAAACAACAACGGACAACTCCCTGATAACGTGTTTTAATGGACAACTCATGAGTGGCAACTTCAATCTAGGCTTTAGTCATAAACACACTACATAAATTATGTAAGTTTCACTAAGCCTATAACGGTATACGTAATGCGACCGTATTGGTTCCGTTTATATGTGTCATTTATACATTTTTGATCGGAAAAAAATTAGTACAAGATACCATCAGTAACCAAACAAACATGTACCAGGCTCTTCACCTTTCACAGACATTTTTTTTCACAGACGGTAGCAACATATGCATATACCATACCTATATTATATGCATGATTTACACACAATTGTCATCGTTGTAGTTACGATCATGAAGTTTACAGTGATAAAATTGATCCTCTTTACAAAGCGAACCTCCAAGTTCTCAGACATACAGCACGAAGCATGTTAGCTGTTGAAGTTCTGGCTTTATGGTTTGATTTTCAAAAATATGTACATCAATTTTGTAGTGCAGCTATAGCAGCAAAATGACCCTGTTATGTGAGTACATGTGTGTGTGTGTGTGTGTGTGTATGTGTGTGTGTGTGTGTGTGTGTGTGTGTGTGTGTGTGTGTGTGTGTGTGTGTGTGTGTGTGTGTGTGTGTGTGTAGGTGTGTATTGGGGGATTTTTGGATCTGTATGATCACAGTACGTGTGTGTGTGTGTGTGTAATGGGGGATACATGTACCTCAATGCAGACCACAAAACATCAGACACAGGAAATGGTGTCTGAAGTAACCCAAATGGCATGAAGTATCCTTTTACATGACAGATGGGGCAGGGTGTATAATCTATATATAATGCAAACATCGCCCTCTAGTTCTGGTAAACGTGTTTCGTTTGTTTCGCTTTTATCCGTTCTTCCAGTTCCCTGTTGACAGGGACCGGGTGTTTTAAGTACACCATACTATCCCTTTTCGGTACTTCGGGCGGCTCGGCCTGTCCTGGGCGGGGCGGCAGGGGCGGCGGTTCATCGGCTGGTTGAGGCGTTCTGGGCGGCTTCTGCACCTTCCGGGACTCGGAAGTCGGCAGCCCCTCCACGGAGTAGATGTTGATAAGGTCATTGATAGATTGTGCTCTCCATTGCTTCCTATGAAAGTAGTAACGATCGTCCGAAGTACGATGAATCTTGAAGTGGCGCATGTCGCCGTTAAACCTGGGATCAAGGGACCAAATCATTGGAATAGAGTTGTGATAGAGAGGTGTTTGCAAGCAATGATGAAGTGAATACTTTCGTTGAGTGTCGGCTGGTGAGGTCTCACATTAATTTCAACTTTGCACCATTTTTTTTACATTTTGCTATTTCAAATGTACAGATAATTAACCCAACCAATCAATTTGAACCAGAACATGCATATAAGCTGTTAAAACTGGATGTTTCAGCAAACAGCACCGAAAACATAGGTTATAGAATAATAAGAATAATATGTAGTAGTTTCATACTCGTGAAATATGTTATTTGGATAGAGAAAATTATCAGCATATATAGTCATGGTATGGTTAGTATATGTATTTTTGCATACATGCATATGTAGATATACCAAAAAATACTCACGTAACACTGACGGCTACTCTATTGTCGTCTAGTGGCCGAATGAGGAACCAACCATCTGCAGCGATGTACGGAGCCATTGCTTCACGGATCTGAAAAAATAAAATTAACGTGAATCCAACGCATGATGTTCACAGCGACTGCCGACGATATCAAACATCACATTTAACAGCCAGTAATGCTACACCACTAATAAAAGAATGGGTGATATCACAATTATGATAGTATATATCAAAACACACTGGAGATTTAATACTCTCCTAGAAAATTTTCAAATGTGAAATTTTTATTTTTCCTTACAATTTGCTATTGTCGCCGTCTCCTTGGGGAACTGAAGGTATGCATTTCCGACAAACGACATTGACAATGCAGTCAACAAACCGTACTCACGTATTTCTGTCTGTCGGGAAGATGCGGGTGCCATCCCGGGAGGGAGCACGTCGACAAGTCGTCTAGTCCTTCCCACTCCACATCCTCACTGATAACACTGATGTTGTCCAAACTTGACCACGAGTTGCCGTACAGTTCCTCCGGAGACCCGGGGAAGACTGGAGCGGCGCCGGGGGGCCATGGGGGCAAACCTGGGGAACCTGGTGTGAGCACGTCTGTGTGTTGGGCAGCAGGGGGAGGGGGGCAATCCTTGTGTCGGAGAACTAACTGTCTGCCCTGGGGAGAGAAGGTGCAGGTGCAGTGCAAACAATAAGTATCGGAACGCAGAGATGGGTCCAAATGAATAGAAAGCTTATTAAATTATGCTATAACGCAACAATTGAGATCAGTACATAACCGATATGCATTAATGACTACTAATTGTGATTTTGTGATTAACTTGTATAGTCTGTTATCCGTGCCTTGTATACCCATCATTGCCTGAAAACAGGTTGCTAAGTGCAACTGCTGGTGAAATAAATAAACTGAAACTGAAACTAAAATCCTGAAACTAAAATTCCATTGGGTATTACTGTGACATGTGAGTCGCACCTTGACCAGTCGGGAGGGTGACGACCACCTGACCAGTGTGTACGCCTCTACGTCCGGCTCCTGAATGACCAGATCGTCTGTGTGCAGTCCGGTCTGCTCCAGGGACGTCTGTAGACTGGCCTCTAGCGTGTCACAGCCGAAAACCTGAACTCTCTGGACAGGGAGTCTGTGTCCTTCCGCCGTCACCACGACGTAATGCAGAGTGAACTGGTCTGTAGGAGACAGAGATTCAGGAACTGCTCAAGGAGCTTAAAATCTTAGGCACTGGGCTTAAAATCTAGATTCTAAGCTCTTTGTTTAAGCTGAAATCTAGATTTTAAGCTCCTTGATATGCCCAATAACAGACTAATATTGCCAAACCTGTCAAATTTAAACATATTTGTAGTTGTAACGTGTTTTGGGTTTGTTGGGAGTGAGATTATAATGGCCAAAGTAAACTTCAGTGACAAGTCTGGCAGGGGAAGTTTGCTCGATGACAACACTGAAGCGGAAGTTTCGGCCCAAAATTAAATGGTTCATTAGCCAAGGGAACACGTGCCAAAAAGTCCAGTGGCTTCATTACCTTGCTTCTTCAAGGACCGAGAAGAACAAATACGTACTGTAGCTTCTTTATTCAACTTGACGTCATGAAAACCACCTTGCCCAATTCCTGGTAGTAAAAACCACCTTGCCTAATTCTTGGTGGTAAAAACCACCTTGCCCAATCCTTGGTAGTACTTGCTAAACGGGACGTACCTTCCATCGCGTCTTCTACAATCTTCAAGACGTCTGGTCTCTCCATTTCTGTCAAGGCGTCCACGATGACTTGGATTGTAGCCCCTGGTTTTCTACTCCATTCTTCAAGTAGCAACATGGCCGGAACTTCATTCAATGCTTGGGCTTTAACCCGGAAGTTTGAAATGTCCTCCATAGTGCCGGAGCCAAGTCTGTGGGCAAGCCCGGTCCAGTTTTCCACTGTTCTCTCGTCCCCCAGCATCAGGGCAATTTTGCGGTAGGTGCCGTAACTTAACACGTTGAAGTTGTCACTAAAATTGTATGACTGTCTCCTCTGTGGTGCCTCCGCCCTACCAGGGTGCCGGTGTGCAGAGATCAAGTCTGTGTCAGGCTCCGCCATTGCCACGCCTGTCTTCAGCTAGCAGCGACGCCCACCGATTTATGACGGGTTGTAAGTGCAGACGGAACAGGTAATACGAAACCACCTTGGACTCCAACACAGCAGGAGCACAGTGGTCTTCCTTCTGTCCTGGTTGAGCAAGTATAAACAAGAGTTGATTTCAAGTCATCCAGGTATGACGCTGTGAGGGCATGTTGTCACGTACCGGGTTCGTCCTAGCGTTAACCTTCGTACTAAGTCGCCCACCCATACACATACCATTCTTTGGGACGAACCATTTAGATTAATGGGAGGCAAAAACTGAGTAAAAATGCTATTATGTAGTAGGGGCATCGTCACAAAATGCAACCATAGAAGGAGGAAAATCGACAAAAAACAATTTGCACCAGTTGTAACTGTTGACGACCGTATCTCCCTCAGCTGACAGGTCCCCCAAAACTCTCCCCGGTCTGTTCCTTGTTCCTACCACTGTGCACCTTGCTCCTATCCTGCACAGAGGTCATTTAGAGTCTATTTACTTAAGGTTAGGGAAACATGATATCAATAGCAGGCTTTACAAAGGCAGCACGTACACAGGTAAATGGCCAAAAATGTATGGGCGAACTACATGCATTATCTTATCTCCGTATGCAGTACAAGTTCCCTGCAATGGGTACAAGTTCCCATGCACCTGTGTTTTTCCCCATGCCCCGTCTTCTTGCTCAATGTAAGTGTAAAACTCACGGTCACAATCTTTCATAAACTTTAGGTGTGGACCTCACTCTTATCTGGCCTGGTTTCGCCCGTCTCACTGAAACTTTCCCAATACTGTTCAGGTATATTCTTACCTTACTGATAATGTACTTGGGTACTCCATTGTGATTTTTCGTTATAATCGGTTTAGGAATTAACGTTAAATCCTGGCCTCACTACAGGTGCCCCCCTCCCACCCAATTTATAATCACCGTATCCACCAAACCTTTCCTCGACACACCTTTGTTCTTATTCCGTAATCTCTGTTTTCGAGAGACCCGTGAGTACAACTCGATTGGTCTATTTTGACTTTAAAGTACTGTTGTGACATGTAGCGTTATAGTCGGACGCCGAGACAGTCAGCCTGAGGCATTCACATGATACAGGTTTTGTATCTATAGTCTAGAGATCAGTGCCATAATTGTTCGTGTACGTTCGAGCTGTAATGATAGTACATGTAACGTTACAACAAAGTTGTCCTTCTGAAACTACTGCAGTGATCTACCCGGTATTGATTCAAACATTTGGAAGCGCCTTACCTATCGGCGGTCATACCCGGTTGTCATGGCGGACAGTTCCCGCCACCGGACGGGGGATTTCCCGGAACTGGACAATACACCTCTCGCCTTTTATGGGCAGGCTTACAGGTGCAACAGACCGGCCTTGTGTACAATGGTCAAGTTAGTAGTAGGGTGATCCCCGACCGAGTCACATCAAAGTTTAAGACTTGAAATGGTACATGCTGCTTTCTCCATCTGCATTTGGGAAAAAGTATGTTAAAAGCACACTGTGTGTGTTACAACGGACTATGTAACAACTTACCGGTGATTATTCCAATAGATATTCCTGAGTCGTATCCTGGGCCTTAAGAGAGGGCCTGCATGCCCTTCTTCCGAGTAAGGCGTAATCATGCCTTTTTAGTCTTCGTAATCCGTATGTTAGGCAGCCTCTACAAAAATCAACGTAATTCGTAAAAGTACATTAGCGAGCCGCAAAGCGTAAAGTCATCATCAGCTCGTGATTCGTAATCGGCGGCAAAAATTTTGCGTAATTCGTAATCACATGCTGGCCCTCGTAAGAATCTCCTGGTTCAAACGTTTCCCTCTGAACTGTTCTCAGAAGAGAACTGATTGACACCAGTAATGATCCATCTGCATGCCCAGGGACTAGGTGCGCCTACATACAGGTGCACCTACACTCCCTTGGCATGCAGATGGATAAATGAATGCTGGTGTTAATCAAAGATCTCTTCTAAGAACAGTACAGAGGACACGTTTGTACCAGGAAAGTAATGTACTTCAGATGCTTGGAACCATTCATGATGAATGTTTTCAATCCAATTCATTTATTTATTCAATTTATTAAAAGGCAAGCAGGTTTAATATCTCAGCTCAGCTCATAACAGTGTCCATATTAAATTTGCACAATCCAGGGCACTTTGGACAAAGGCTTCTCTGACTGTTTTCAGGTTTAATACTTACATAGCTGGTATGATGATGTGGAAAACTGTTACCGTACATAACCCCCAGCGGGAGTCGTCACGCATCGTTGAAAATAAAGAAAAGATGTTCTGGAAAGGTTTTTGAAGGAATCTCGTGATCTCAAAACATCTGAAGATTCTTTAAAAGAATCTCAAGATATTTGACAATCTCAGGGTTCTCTCAAACGTAAGTCTCGGAACTTTCTGTGTTGAGTATATACTAAGCCCCCGTATCAGAATAGACTAGTCCATCGCCCTATGACCTGCATATTTATCTTGCGACTTGGACTTGGTTTCGCTACAGTATGCAACTCAATGACCCTGACCCTGCCTTACCGGACTTTGTACCTGACAAAGTAGGTCTACAAATATTAGATTAAGTCCACAATGAGTGTGGGGTATGGGTGGCGTATGTATTACCAAGAATATACCAACTGAAGGAGCATAAAATCGTGAGCTGCTAAGTATAAAGTAATAGAATAGTGGCCGTAGAGGGAGGGCAACGATGTAGATACGGTTTTGCTATCTCCAATTCCCTTATTTCAAGGACTTGCTTTATAATTTCGTAGATTTTTTTGGTCCCATCATACATAATAACACTTTCGACAATACACCAAGTGTTATCTTTATAATATACATGATCATATATGATGCAATCATATGCAAGAAACTTGAAAGAAGAAGGTGAACCATTCTAAATTTACTATCTATATAGTGATTGCATCATATGGGTGCAACGTTTGGGACTGTGACAGTACAGTTGTGACACAATACTATTTTGGACCACAGGGTAATATAGACTTCCATTGACACCAAATTGTTTCATGTCTTACAGAACTATCAAATCCCTGAGTGTGCATCTGTGAAAGGCCACCAGTATGGAGAGAGCAACACTACTTATTTGCCTGTTTGGCTTCTTTAAGGAACTGCGGCCATCAGAGCCGTTCTTGACCCCTTACCTTAAGGGGCCGACGAAGAACTTAACGGAGGAGCAGGTGACCAATGAGATCTACCCGGTGTGGACGTACACGTATTTCCCCACCTTACTGGTCATCTTCCTCCTGACGGACTACGTACGATACAAGCCGGTCATCATATTTGAGGGTTTCACTCTCATCCTGACGTGGGTTCTCCTGTTGTGGGGACACGGGGTCGCCATGATGCAGGTCATGCAGGTCACCTACGGTCTGTCCACCGCCGCGGAGATCGGGTATTACTCCTATA